GGACTGTATACAAATAATATTTATTTGTATCTCCAACAATTTTTTGCATCAAACTGTGGTCAATATCAAACGAAAATAATGCAGTGGTCTATTTTCATTATCTTTTGGTAAATATGAATTGAGACCAGAGGCACTTGAGTCAAATGTGAATCTTTTCGCCTCAAACCACTTCACTCTCCATCTTCGCTCTTCAAAAGAAAAAAGTGCAGTTTAAGCACACCCCTATATATACTGTGACATAAAGACAGAACAGAAAAAGAAATTTATTGGCTGTAAAGCACACCACTGTTGGGGAAAGGGCTTACTCAAAATAGATGTCCTGTCTGAACGTACAGAGTATATATCAGTATGATCTTATTGAATAAAGAGTAATTAATTTCAAAAGTAGGGGTGGCGCTTTACCGTTTCTTTACAGGTAACGCAGTAACGCATGTGTTATTGCGTTACTGGCAACGAGTAACGTATGCGTTACTCGTTATCAGTAACTACTAACGAGATGCGTTTATTTTTCATAGCGATTGTGTTGATAATGATTCATGACCAAGCAACTGATATTGACCAAGTGATAATGATTCATGTGCCAAAAAATGTAACAACTAGTATCTTGCTAATTTAGCCAGTAGAGAAGATGAAGGGTATATTTTTCGTTGCCGCAAATGTAAATATACAAAATCAATTAGAAACGGAACATTTTTTGCAAATTCACACTTATCATTACGTCAAATCTTTGGGGTAATTGGGCAAGAGAAGAAGATCTATCAAGCAATTATCCCATGAATTAAAACTTTTGTCAAAGCATCACGATCATTTACTGGAGAAACTTTTGCCGCGATATATGCGCAATTCATTACGTTAATAATCCACAAAGAATAGAAGGTATGTCTCTAATGATTATGATGATAAATGATAATTATGACAAGTAATATTTCATTTAGGTCCAGGACACATTGTTGAAATTGACGGAAGTTGTTTCGGCAAAAGAAAATATCAACGTGGTCGTCTTCTAAAAACACAATGGGTCTTCGGTGGCATTGATATTAACACCAGAAAATGTTTTTTAGTACCTGTCGATCAGCGTGACGCTACAGCATTATTACCAATAATTGAAGAATATGTTTTACCAGGTAATGCTGATGCGATTTGTGATCTATCAAATCAAATAATGTACTTCTTTATATTAGGCACAACAATCCATTCTGATGAATGGAGAGCATATAATGCCCTACGAAATAATCCTGATTATATACATTTAACTGTCAATCATTCGATCAGTTTTGTTAATCCAAATACTGGGGTACATACGCAAAATATTGAAAATACATGGATGTTAGCAAAAAGAAAACATAAAAAGCAAGGTGGTTTCAATCGACACTTATTACAAACGTATTTAGAAGAGTTCATGTGGCGACAAGAATTTGGCGATGAGCCATTAAAAAATTTAGTTTTACAAATTAATTCTCTTCATCCTGTTCAATAATTTTCGTATAAATTTTCTGTGTAATAAATTCATTCTAATTTTTCATACAATAACTTCATACTAATTATTAGCTCAATACCATCTTCTGTTGAGTTCTTTTGAAATTAATTACTCTTTATTCAATAAGATCATACTGATATTTTTTAACATATTGTTTGAATTTCCACCATAGTGTATGAAATATTTTCGACGAAAATTACAGGATCTGATGCACATGTCATTTGCTTTTTCTAGAAAAT